TTAACCACACTATCAATTTAATTCGCTCCAAAGATAATAAACTAACACGATATCCGCAGTACTATGCATAACTCTTAGAACTAGTTCTATCATATTTTCTGTAGTCATTGAAAAAAAAAAAGTGTTAGAAATAAATATTTTCGTAATTTTGCTGCGTAATTATTTGACTTGGATAATAATATCTCCATTAACAACAAAATGTTGCAGTGCTTGAAGTATTTGCACATTGCCCTTAGTTAAATTTAATATTTCAGCATCGTTCTACATAGGTACAGAATGTGCTTATAACAACATTTATTTTCCAGAGTAATTTAATAAATAACCTAACAGCTAAGTTAGAATAATAAAAACATATATCGTAGATATTTTTACCCATGAAATAATGATTCTTCAAACATGATATGTTAGTTATTAAATTAAAAAACCTGTAACTCCTAACCTACAAAAAGATAAGTCCTTTCACTTCGGAGTTCCGAATGACAATGAAAACTGAACGATAGGTGAACGCTGAACGCAAGGTGAACGCAAAGTGAACAGAACGAAGAGCGAACGCTGAACGCTTTGTGAACGGTGAACGCAAAACTGTGAACGGAGAGCGAACGGTGAACGCACGGTGAACGAACGGTGAACGCACGCTGAACGAACGGTGAACGAACGGTGAGCGAACAGAGAAATGGGAAAGTAGAACGTTCCAGGGACTGTATAAGTAGATGATAAATCAATAGCTTCGTAAATCGTTCATTATAATAAAATAATAATTATCGCTAAAAACTTCATAATCGTATTTTGATAATTACCCTAGTAATTGATCGCTTGGTTTGTTAACATCTGAACCTTCATTATCGACTGATAATAATTGTAAGAATATCTATTCTGTCTTGATATATATCCCTGAATTGTAATGAGACCTTCATTCTATTCATCTTTTTTCATAAACAACAAACGGTCACAAACAAAAACAAAATTTGATGTTTCAGTGTGTAAAAAAAATGAACGGTAGTGCAGTTTTCCTCATAATTATAAAATATCCGAACTTTCGAAATCTGTTGATAACGTGTCTTTTTAATTCATTCTTTTCAAAATTATCCTAGATTTTTTTTTCAAATCCTCGTAAAAAAGGTGCCCCAGACATAAGATTTCTGTGAAATATGAATATGAATATATCGAAGTTTGACAACTCAACTCAACTGCACTGTAAAGCAAGAAAAAAAATGCAAAATATAAGTGCCGGAAAAACAAATGTTGTATCTATCGCTTTGTTTTTATCGTCAATGTCAACAATGTCAAGGTCCCGCGTCCTTTATTTTTTAGCGTGACACTTGTAAACAACATTAAATTGGGGCAAGCAGAAATAAGGAATAAGTTATGATCAACTTTTTTGAAATAAATGGAGATAACAAACAGTATTCAAGCTCCAAAGTCCATTATACAATACAAGATTGTATCAAAATTCTCAGTCATCCGACATTTATATCTGTGGAATTGAAATCAAGGTAAATTCTTAAACTTTTCAGCGCAAGCGTACAATAAAGAGGAAGAAGTGAAACAATATTTTTGTGATGGGTTATACAAAGATTTTTTTTTTTACTTTTATTTTTCTCCATTAAATTAGATTTTTTAGGTTCTGAAACCTGTAATTTTCTGAAACCTAATATCAAGAACTGAACAAAATTTGCATGTGTCATGCAAAAAATCTACAGTTGTCAATTTTCCCGTTTATCCGTCACAGTGTCACTTTAATTTTTTTCTATTTAAAGAGCAAATGATTATTTTTTTCTACAAACTACGTCATGCGTTAGGCTACAAAAAAGCTTCTAACATTTACATGTATGCTTTGAGAAAGTTCAAAATTAAAGAATTGAAACGATAGCCTACCGTTCGAACGTCATACTTGCTTCTTTTCGCCGACAGAAAAGCGACTCCCATAAAATACTCATCCCATGAAATAATATCATCTTTCTGTGTGCTGAAATAATTTATGTTAAAAGCAATCTTTGCATCATTAAAATTTTGTTTTAGATATCATTGTTTTACTTACTTACTTACTTAAAACAATTCAATAGAAAAAAGGATATCTATTGATATTAATTAATAAAGATGAAGTAACATGTTTAATTTTTTCTTTGCCAGATTACTTTTACAATCATCCCATTCCAATTTATTATGTCATTATACCTTCTTCTTTTGCGTTTCCCTACTCTTCTATCCCTTTTATCGTCACTCATATCTGATTTTCGAGTATTAGGCATGTTAAATGTTTAAAATTTATCTTAAATATGATATTACTATCTGTTTGAAAATTTTCAATTATCTACATGATTTATGTACACAAGGAAATTACAAATACTAGACATGTGATCAGTATATACTTTTAAAAAATACTTCTTTAAAAAAATACTTACAGGGGTAACCTAAAATATCAAAGCCCTTTATTGAGAATTTCAAAAGAGAAAGTGAAAGTTGATTTCAAATGCTTCCAGGGTAAGTCAGTGCTATATACACTTACCTTTGTATGTATCACATATAGATTGAATTTAAAGTATGATTAAAACTACGCAGATTACCCGGGAATTCATTTTCGGAAAACTGCGCAGTTTATTAAAGTATTGTGGGTAGCCCTTTTTTCAATAGATATTATGCAATTTTTAAATGCAATATCCTTTATCTGTAAGAAAATGTTTTGTTTTTTGTTTTTTGTTTTTTTTTTTTTTTTTGTGTTTTTTTTTTTTAAATTGGTATTTGACTCTTTCAATGTGAGTGAAAAAAACGCAAAAACCTTTTTAGTTGAAATAAATATTTGTGGTTATTAAAATATTTAAACATTGAATTTATCTATAATTAAAAATAAAAAAAAGGTATTAAACCTATTATATATGTTATTTTAATGAAGGAAAATTCAATCACAATGTAAATTCCATCGAGAATAAAACACAAATTAAATCCTGGTATTTATATAACAAAACAATTTTTCGAAGAAAGAAACACGTAGGTTTATAGGACTAATAATGTAGTCAGCATTGAATTCATTAACTACATGAATCCTATGATTCAGCAATTAAATGTAATTCAGTTTTAGTTTCAAATACAATACAAGCTGGTGAAAGAGAAAATATTCTTTGACAAGCAAAATGAGATACCCCCCTCGTTTATAGATAAATCACAAGATTAGTTTTATATTGTTGCCATTGTATCAGACAGTTTATTATCTCTCTCTCTCTCTCTCTCTCTCTCTCTCTCTCTCTCTCTCTCTCATTGGGTTAAGGACCTCCACACTTACATCATTCTATGCATGGATCGGACAATAATTATGAGGTCATGTTAAAAAAATGTAAATGAATACGTATGAATAGATATAAAAGTTCTATTTTCTAAACACTCAAATACTTCCCTTTTCCATGTCATGTACCTAACATTAACCAGACATAGAATGAAAGCTTACTGGATCTTGCTGTATACTGAATGACGTGACGTCATCGACTAGTTTCTCTGCATTGTTGGCGTGGATTAAGTTATTATCGTACGTGACAAACAGCTGATGAAAGGTACGTCGGTTAAGCAACACTTAGCAGACATGATATACATAAAAAACAAAGAACAAAATTCCCAATTATAAAAGATATGCTGTTTAATATATTCTATAGTGTATACATTTTCACTGAATATTTTAGGGTGTAGTTCGTAAATCCAACTGCACCCCTCTCTCGAAGAAACGAAAGCACAAGGAATTATTGAACTGTTAGGAGCTATTTCCATTAATCTACACACCTATTGAAACTTATTTACAGACTTTTAAATGCATTAATATCCTTCAGCGCATAATCTAATGTGCAGTGTAAAAGCACATCCAGGTTGCAGTTTGGTAGATGATGCAATAAGATATGAAGAAAACAAATAGTAATCAAGCTCAAAAGTCCAACCATTGGTCTCTAAACTAAACTGATAATATAAATGGTCGATAACACTTATGAAAATGTAGAAGCAGTAACCTTTCTGTAAAACAATAAATGTCTGTAATGGAAGCCTAGTGATTACATTCAGAAAATATAAATTAGGATCAGTTTATCAAAAACGTTGTCAGGAAGAAGATACTTTTTTTAACAAATGATCAGGTTTTACAGATCAGAAATTATTCAAATAAAAACATTATCATCAGTAGTAGGAATAGAGGCATGTCCTAAACTTTTCATGTTTTTAACGTTTTTTAACTCCTAAAATTTACTTCTTTTTTTTTCTGTAAAAAAGAATATAGTTGCTTCGTTCTTTTTCTAATGGTTCAGAGTTCAACAGAGCATTTTAATGGAACATTTACATAAATTAAAAGTACATGTTCAATTGAATCAGAAAACAAGTAAATACGATTGATGTAAAGTAGAAAAAGCCATAAACCTATCTCAAGTTCTTTTTCTTTTGCTTTATTTTATAGTTTTGATTACGGGTACATGTATTATAAAACTTTTTGGAAAAGCAATTTCTTCAAAATCTAGAAAGATTTCTTTCCTGCCTAGAGCTCTACTTTCTCCTTCTTCTTTGTAGCTTCTACAAAAAGAGAAATTTGAAGATAACAAAAATTAGTATTTATAAGAACAGACAAAAAAACTAATATTTAATTTCCAGTTACATATTCTATAAAGCCTAAGGTTTCAGAGCTCATTTCATTCCTGATAATATTTGAAATAAAAATAATTTTGAATTGCATCTTTGCTAATTTCTCATATTTTTTAATATGCACAAGAATTTTTATGCGATAATCCTTTCGTGAGGGGACCCAGAGCATAGCATTCATGATGTTTTCAAAAATTATCTTTTAGATATTCATTTTCAATGATATATTTTTAATTCAATACTGAAATGTTTAGAATTGGCTGTGTTGAGAAGCGTTTTATAGAAAACTTAGTGCCTGTAATTATGAGTATTTTACTCTATATTTTGTATAAAAGGAGCCAGATTATTTTTGATAGTGACATTGAACTATAATAAACATTAACATTAAAATACTGCGATTAGACATTGTGTAAACTATCTGGAGCTATGAGGAAAACACAAAGTGTGCAGGAAGAATTAAACGTATTCATGTCGCTGCATGTGCACTGATATCTGTTAGTTAAAATCTTGCATGTTTATATCAATTACCTAGATACAGTGTGTTTGGGTAGTCTTTTGCCATTCATTGTTCACTATAGTTGACAACACACAATTGTCTTTTGGGGCAAAACTTTTCTAAAGTTTAACACTTTAAATGTTGCCTACTTTCAAATTGGTGTAAAAACAGTCTGTAATAAGCATACATACTGTAATTGTATTTTTGCAAACTCCAGCATTTTTCTGGACAACTTGTATTTTTGCTCGTCAGATTTGTCGTTGGCATAATATATAACTTTACTTATCCGTGACTGGGCAAGCAGTTTGGCGCATTCATTACAAGGAAAGAATGTAACGTATGCAGTGCAATCCTTTAAACTGGTACTGTGCCTATTTATAACAGCATTCATTTCAGCATGGCAAACTGAAAAAATAACAGAGTATGTTTTCTTTTCTCATAAATACAACAATTATTCTGCGGTGAGATGTTTAACTTTGTACTTTTTTAAAATAATCTTTTCACGACAACTGCAATACTAATCTTTTGCAGGACAAATTGATAAAGTTTGGTGAAATATGACGTAACATCATTTTTTGTTAATATACGTTATTTGATTATCAGCCAACAAACACTGCCAAACGTTATCAAGTTTATATCCCGATGAGCAGTACCGCACTTATACTGAAAATGCTTATTTTAGATTACTGTCAGTCCCTCCAGTCTTTTTTCTATAGCACTTTTATTTTCTTCAACAGATTTAAATGAAATAAGGGCTATCGAGTTAATTTAGGAAAATATTTTCGCAAACCGGATAATTGCAAGAGAAGGAAGTAAAACAGAAAGTTACCAGATTTACTTTTTTCCTCTTCTGAAAATAGTTCATCATTGTTTTGATTTCCTTGCATTTCCGGTGGGTCAATATAACCATTATATCCAGTGGCAACTATCCTTTTTTCATTGTTAACTATACATGCACCAACCTGAAATAATTATATATATGAAAACTCATTTTCATATCAAAATTTAAATGTAACTATAAAATATGTTGGTAAGTGAAATGAGAAAACTTAAAGGATAACGCGAAACCGTATTTAACTTTGCATCAAAGAACTACGAACGATAGTATTGATCTGCCGCCTACCTCAACATCAATATTCGAAACTAAATATATATAAATATTTTTATTTTTTTTTTTACATTTATATAGATATTTATGTGACCCCCCCCCCCCCCCAAAAAAAAAAAAAAACTTATTTGGGAAAACAAAGAGAGTTAACTATAAATATTGGGTAAAACACTTTCCTTTTTCACTTTAGAAATCAACGGAAAACGGAAAATATTTTAAAACATCTTTCCCCCCGTGAAACAAAAATTCCTTTTTACAAGTATTATGAATTTTTATTTCATAAATTACATGATCAATACGTACTGGTCTCTGCTGACAAAGCAGGTAACAACATTGTCTTTGTTTGTAAGGCTCATTATATTAAATGTATTTTAGAGAAACTTGGATTTAATTGTACAAGTGGTGATCCAACTGATACTCATAGTTCCCTTTCTAAGTTTCTAAGGAAGAAATGTTGCAAAATCATATGTCAGTTTTGAATATTTTTAATATTCCAAACAACCAAAATGAATTTGAATTACCATATCTATATTGGATTCCGAAACTTCTTAAAAATCCTTACAAACAAACATACATAGCGGGTTCCAGTAAATGTTCAACCAAGCCTCTTTTTTTACTTTACTACTCACTAAGATACTAACAGTAGTGAAGAAGAAACTTCAAGAGTACTGTGCAACAATATATTCGAGAAGTGGTGTAAATCAGATGTGGATACCTAAAAATTCCAAGAAACTTTTGGAAAATTTGAAATTACAAGATTTTACAAAAATCAACAGCTTAAAAACTTACGACTTTTCAACTTTATACACAACCATTCCCCACGATAAATTTAAGTCCAGGCCTTTTGGTATCATTGAGAGCTGCTTTTTCAATAAAAATGGAACTCGTAAATTTACATACCTTGTCATTGGTCATTTGCAAAATCATTTTGTTAAAATACATTCTGATTGTACACACAGGTACTCTGAAGTTGACATTAAAAAGATGCTTGAGTTTCTGATAGACAATATCTATGTGGTTTTTGGAGACCAGGTCTTCCAACAATCTATTGGAATTACCATGTGTACCAATTGTGCCCCGTTATTAGCAGACCTTTTTTGTATTCATATGAAGCAGAATTTGTCCAAAATCTTATACGTGAAAAGAAGAAATCACTTGTTGTGGCCATCAACTCGACATTTAGATATATCGACGACGTATTGTCAATTAACAATGGATATTTCCATATCTATGTCGATACGATATATCCTGGTGAGCTTGAGATGAAAGACACCACAGAGTCTGACACATATGTTTCACATTTAGATATTTTACTTGCAAAAGACATTAATGGTAATCTAACAACCAAGCTTTATGATAAACGTGATGACTTTAACTTTTCAATCGTTAACTTCTCTTACTTGTTCAGCAATAAACATTCATCGCCTGATTACGGGGTTTATATCTCTCAGTTGATTCGATACGCAAGAGCATGCTCTACGAATGCACAATTTCTAAACCGAGGTATATTATTGACAAACAAGTTGATGAAACAAGAGTATCAGCAGTCTCGTTTAAAGTCATCATTTCGTAAGTCCTATGGTCGATACAATGACCTTGTTGACTGACGTTTTTCATACTGATTGTTAGACCATTATTTACACACTGAATTGTCGACGGATTTTTCTGTTATTTCCCGATGATGACAAGGGGCACACGGCGGGTGTGACCGGTCGGCAGGGGATGCTCACTCCTCCATAGCACCTGACCCCACCTCTGATGTTTTATAGGTCAGTGTTTGCTCTGCTCCAACATTTGTATTGTTTAATGGACTTTTGATCTTGAATACTGTTCGTTATCTCAATATATTTCATTCAAAGTTTTTGCTGTTTCACGTTGGGGGGGGGGGGGAATATATTTACAGACTAAAAAAAAACATCAAAAATGGTCATTTTATTAAAAATTTCAAATGAAATAACATGTTAAAATGCACTGACCAATCTTTACATTAAATTTTACAAAAAAAGTTAAACATACAGAAAGATCTATGTGTCATTTATCCATTTAAATGCTTCTTTGAAAATCTGCTGATGCTTTTAAGCCTGATTTCTATAGTTAAAATGTTCTAACCCCCACCCACCAACCCTCTTATGAAAACAGTTTTAAAATAGAGCAATTAACTTTATGACACTGGTTTAAAATAATTAATCAATTGCTAATATTATGCTTTTTGTAATCCATTAAGTTTCAATGGCCTAAATGTGGATAAATGTGGTCAAAAATGGGTGTAAAATGTAGGCGGGAATCGGGAATTAGCGTGCGTAGTTCTTTGTTGGAAAGTTTTGTCGCTGCTCTCTTTTCTTTTCTTTTCGTTCTTTAAGATCTCAAGAATTCACTTTCTACAGATATTGTCTAACGATACATATAGGCATAACTACTAAGAACTCAATTTAAGGATCACAGCTGTTAACGAAAAACATTTGCAACGAAAAGAAAGAAAAAGAAATTGGGAATTGTTGCCTAAAAATACCTTTCGCACTTCATACTTGCTTCTTTTTGCTGACAGAAAAGCAATACCCATGAAATACTCATCCCAAGAAATAATGTCATCTTTCTGTGTGCTGAAATAGTTCACTCAAATAAATGATTGACAAAATTTACTAACATTGCTGAGTAAAAAGAATCGTTATTAAAATTTGTTTTTGATTTCATCAATTGGAATAAGTTGAAAAAAGGGCTCGTAAAAATCTTTAATCAATAAACAAATTGCATAAGCAGCAAGATCATTTGTGAAAATTAATTTTTTTTTTTACAAGTATGGCCACCCTGTAATCGCTTGGCTAAAAATAAAAATGAAATAAGATACAGGAGTATTTATTAGAAAATTTTTGTAAACAAAGATTAGGGAGTTACGAGGCATGAACATAATAAGTTATGAAATCATGTCAAAAAATCGTGCAAAAACAAAAACAAAACAAAACAATGAACAATGTATATATTTTTCTTTCTTATAGAATTATTTTGATGACAATGTCTGTTGCTTACTTTTTTTCATACCTTAATCTTTTGCGCTGTTTTGTCCCTTTCTCCTTTTGATTTTTCAATTTAGATTTTTGACTGTCAGACATGTTTTCGTGTACCTTTAAAGATATCCTCAAATATACATACTGTGAAATATACACTTACAAAACATTATTTAAATGGTTTATCTGAATAGGCGCAGATCAGATATCATGTCATAATTCCGGGGTCAAACAAAATTCAAGTTATTTCTTTAATGTACCAAAGTAGATAGATTACCATTGAGGAAATTCAAGAAGAGCTCTAATGGGTATTACATGCATGTATATGGGTAATAGTTTTTTTTAAAAAATAGATTTATCTAGATTGGCGATTGTTCAATTGTATTGAGGTAGACCGGGAAATATTTTGCTGCCCAATGTTTACAATATCTTGTGGCCTTCAATCCACCAAAATAAACTTGTTCTTTATTACCAGTGCTGAAATTCAAAAGGAGCTTTAGCAGGTACCACATGAATATAAATGAATGATTATTCAATAGATTGCTCTGTCGATTTGAAAGTAGGCTGAAAATTTCTGTAATTAGTTTAAGATATAGTTTACTAAAATATTTTACTGGGAATATTTTCCTTTAAAACCCTTTATTCATTGTTAACAAAAACTGAACAATTGAAGACCTTTCTAATTATTATGTAAGGGTAAAAGAAGACAAAACAAATGCTGCACAGCTTTCATGTCAAGGATACTTAATGTATCGTCGGTTTGTTTTTGACAGGTAATGCCCTTGAAGGAAAATTAAAATGCATATACCAACGGTACTGGGCAAGTAAAATTACTGAATTTTTTGTCTTGAATATTATCTGAAGATGAAACTACATTTAAGCAAATTGTGTATAAAAACGGGAGGGAAATTATTGGACGCGTTCATTTAATAAAATACATGTACATTGATGTCTGACATTACATATATACTTGTTAAATAGTGATAGGAAAAAGAACCTGCAAATTCCCTGATATTTGAGGAAGCAAGTATTTCCAAAAAGACGAAAAGAGGAAAAAAGTTTACAGTACCATGTCAAGTATTGATAATTTGGACTCCATATTGAAGTTTCCCTGAGAAAGATATTTCATTCCCATTTCGAAATTTGTTTTTATATTTTCTTGCAAATTCTTGCTAAGGACCTCACCCCCTGCAAATGTTCCATTACCTAAAAGTAAGGTTATGATAATTTGCCTTGCGGTATCTTTGTTGCTCTAATTTTTAGTCTTACATATTTACTAATGCAAAAGATGTATGATGTCAAGAAAATATATGAAAAATATTTGGTTAGAACGTCTTCTCTAGAGACACAGAGTAAGGCGTTGATCCTTACATCGCGGGTTCAGATCCCACTGCATGACGTGGAGACCGATCCTTCGTATGAGGCCGTATAAACCGAGATCCCCTGTCGCAGGAGGTGCTGGCACGATTGTTTGATAGATTGTACGTAGTTTTACGTCCCATTCGAGAATTTTTCACTCATATAGAGACGTCACTATATACCGGTGTAGGGCTTCAAATTTAAACCTTTACACGGCACTCAGGGCCATTGAGCATGCAGTGAGGGATCTTTATTGTGCCAACGCCTGCCGTGACACGGGACCTTGGTTTTTAAGGTCTCATCCGAAGGACTCGCAACTTTCACTTTAAAGTGCCGAGCGCTTGGTGAAGGTGTAACGACGAAAAGTGACCCCCGTAGAATATTGAGTCAAACATCTCCGTAGAAAAATGACCCCCCGGTCAATTTTCTACGGCAAGTAGGGTCATTTTTCGACCGTAGAAAACCATTCCAGGCCGGTAATTCTACGACTCTACACACGTTGAAAAATGACCCCCATAGAATTCTGACCCCCTACTTTTGCACTATATTTTATAACTAAACCTTTAGAAATGAGACGTGATATGCGTTAATCCGAAGTTTGGGAGGGTTGGTGAAAGCCTAGAGTTTCCTGATTTTTTTTCTTTCAAATGTATATTGGGGGAGGAGCAAAGTATCTTCCCCTCCTTAATTGTTTTTTCTTGGTTTTTGGTGGGATTTTTTTTTACTCACATATTTTGTTCCGAAAATGACATGATTTGTTTCTGACATCGATATACCTATATGGAATGCATGTTATCGGAAACCATCTAAAGGACAAGTTAGTGTCCCCACATTTCTAGCTTAAAATTTGTGCCCGCTTTCAACCTGCCTCCACCCCATCTTTTTTTTTTTTTTTTTTTTTTTTTTTTTTTTTTTTTTTGCTCTTTTTTTTCATATACAATGTAATAAAATAATAAAACATGCAACAAATTTAACTATATACAGTAGGTCAGTCTGCATCCTGCTAGACAATGTTTTGCAAATCATGAAAGATCACAGTGCATACTATCTACAGATACAAAACATATTTTCATTACTTTTACAAAAAAATATGTTACAGGGGATATTACCTTTTGATTATGACATTTGATTTAAATACATAGTGAAATAATACCATTAGTAGTTCTGATGTAATAACTATAAAGCATCTAATATTGGTTGCCAAGTTTCATTAAAAATATCTAAATTACTATTTGAGCAATATGCTGCCTTTTTAAGTAGTAATTTCTTTTTCAGAAGGTATAAAAAGGCATGAGAACTTGGTTCTTTTTTAAGGACATTCAAATTTGCTATAGACACTGAATGTATATAAAACTTAGAAAGCAAAATACAGTAATTCAAACTATCACATTTTCTCTCATACAGACCTAATATAACATTTTGACATGATAGCTTGTCTATGTGGAAAATGTGTAAATCATTCCACCAACTGAGAAAGTGGTTCCAAAATGTAACAACATAAGTACAGTAATAAAACTTGTGTTCTATAGTATCTTCCATTTTACATAAAAAACATTGGGGGGAAGTTTTAATTTTCATTTGAAACAGTAGTTTATTATGAGATAAAAATCTATGAGTTAGCTTATACTGAAAAAACTGTAGTGATGTTTCATTAGAACATACAAAAGGTAGCATGAAAATTTTTTCCAAGTCTGTTTGCGAGAAATTTGCTTTAAATATTTCCTCCCATTTTTGCACACATGTTGGTACTTCGTTTAAACTTTCCACTGTAATCCAGTAAAAGTCTTTACAAGATATTTTTGACAAAGGACTTCTTTTATTATTAAAACATAAGGTCAAAAAATCTCTATTAAAAGAGACTTTTTTGTTTTGTCTTATATATTTTCGCCAATGATATGGAATTGCATTTCTTAAACAAAAGTAATCAAAAAAGGTATATTCAAGTCATACAGATTACTTAATTCTTCATAGCTTAAAAAATCATAATTATCACCTAAAATGTCTCCAATAAATAAGATATCTTTTTTATACCATTTTTTCCAAAACACAGTCTCATTATTTATTTTAATGTTATCATTGAACCAAAGAGCTTCTTTAAATATTATTGGTTCAATATTAATAACATTACATCTAAGTTGTGTCCATGTTTCAAAAATGTCTCTATAAAATTGTGGTAATGATGAACATGCATATAGCCTATTTAGACAACCTCTGGTAATTATAAAATCATTCAATTCTATATCATTCAGGTAAGATTGAATTATATTTCTCCATCTTGCTAAATATCCTTCTAATCCAACCAAGTTTTAATGATTTCATTTGTGCTTCAAGATTAGGAACTTTCAATCCACCCTTATTGATTTTTTGACAGGATACTGAACTTTTAACTTTTGGCTTTTCATTATTCCATATAAACTTATTCAGTTCTTTAGACACCTCCTTTATCATTTGTGGGGGAATTGGAAGTACTTGTGCTTGGTATACTATTTTTGATATTACTAAAGTTTTTACAATTAGAATTTTGCCAATAAGTGTTAAATTCCTCATTTTCCATAAATTCAAAGTTGCTTTTAGTTCATCTAATTTTGTATTTAAGTTTTTAGCAAGGGTTTTTTGTTTACCGCTTGAACTAAACCAAATACCAAGAGTAAAAAACTGACCTTCAGACCATTTCACAGGCAAGATTCCTGATTTGAAGTTTTTATTCTTTCCTATCCAAATTGCTTCAGTTTTATTCAAATTAATTTTCAGACCAGTACAGTACTTAAATTTTTGAATAACATTTAATATTTCAATTCCTGATTTTTCATCACTTAGAAAACATGTAGTGTCATCTGCTAACTGGCTAATCTTAAATTCTGTCTCCCCTATTTTTATTCCACATATATTTCTATTTGCCCTTATGGCTATTGCAAGTAGCTCAACACATAAAATGAACAGGTAGGGTGATAAAGGGCTAATAGAATCATTCATTACTACGAGTGTGGGATAGTGAAATTCCACCAAGGGGACAAGATTCACGGTCTAGGACGAGGCTTTGCCGAGTCCTAGACCGTGAATCTTGGCCCCGAGGTGGAATTTCACTATTCCCACACGAGTATGTAATGAATGATTATTTTTCTCGCATTATTTTATCCAAAATAACGGCCTGTCAATGACGTCGCCATGATAGGGCTAAAAATATATTCTTTTAATTTTCCATCTAATTAAAAATCTAAATACACCATCGGAGAGAGCGTACCTGAAAATGGTTTACACAGAGTGTAAACTGATAAAATGAATTTCAGTCCATGTAAATTAATTAGATAGATAAAAACTGGGAATAAAAAAAACTTATCTATCCGATAGCGTACACATTCATTTAAGAAGAATCATTCCGCGATCTAAAAGTAGTGCCATTTAAAAAGTGAAAATACGACAATATTTTGAATGAAAATAAGTTTATCTTAATAAGGTAAATGACAACATTTTAAGTATATGTAATATTTTTTAACATTGTTACAATTTCTTTATATAAAGACGGAATGTTTACGTTATCGTTCGCGGCGTAGTAATACACAGTGTAAGACAGAAAAATCTCACACTGCTGTCTCACACCGGACAAGTCAATCTCACACTGGTGATTATGCGAGAAATCCTTGTCTCACCCCTCTAGTTAATTTGAAGTAAGAGGTTGTATACCCATTGTTTATAACACTACTAGAGATATCTGTATACAGGATTTCAACCCAATGTCTGAAACTTTCACCAAATCCAAATATTTCTAAAGTTTTATCAATGAAAGGCCATTCTATCGTATCAAATGCCTTTTCAAAATCAACTAAGAGAATTAGTCCAGGAATATTCTTAATACTAGTATAGTTTATAAGATCAGATATGGTTCTAATATTTTCTCCTATAAATCTATTCTCTAAATATCCAGTTTGGTCAGAATCTATTAAATGAGGTAAATAAGTTTTCATCCTTTTTGCCAATACCTTTGATAATATTTTATAATCAAAATTTAGAAGAGATATTGGTCTCCAGTTTTTTAACAAAGTTCTATCTTTATCTTTTTTAGGAACTATAGTTATTATTCCTTTTCTTTGGTCAACTGAGAGAGTGTGTTTTTCAGTGCTTTCATTTATACTATCAATGACTAGTTCTGATATCTGATTCCAGAAATACTCATAAAATTCTATTTGAAACCCATCAGTTCCTGGTGATTTATTATGTCTAAAAGTTTTCAAAATATTTGCACATTCTTCATAAGTAATTGGTCCCTCACATGAAAGAGATTCCTCTTTTTGAAGTCTTGGAATGTTTACATTATTTACAAAATAGCCAAGATTTTCATTATATTCATTATAATCCAAGTCAGATGTATATAATTTCTTATAAAATTTCATCTCCTCCTCTAATATTTCATTTTTACATTGTACAATATTGTCATTTATATTTAATGTTGAGATACATTTATTTCTGTAATTTCTTTTTTCCAAAGATAAAAAGAATTTTGTGCATTTTTCCCCCTTTTCACACCATTTTGCCTGAGATCTTAATATAATTCCTTTCGTTTTGTTATCATTTAATATTTCCAACTCTTCTCTTATTTCATTATATATATTAATATTTTCTTCAGTTGGATCTGTTGCCAATTTTACATTTTGTTCCTCTAGTTTCTTAATAAGACTTTCTTCACTCTTTCGATTTCTACGAGATTTAAGTTTTGAATACTTTACAATAAATCCTCTTAGTTCACATTTAATTGTATCCCATTTCAACTGCTTATTTTCTAACTTTAAGTATTTTTCTTTTAACTGTGCAATTGTACTTTTTATTCTCTCTACAAATACCTCATCTTGTAATAAGGATGCATTAAATTTCCAAAAACCAGGGCCTCTATCTACAAAAATTTTCCCCTTTAAAATTATGGTTATAACACTATGATCTGTTTTTATTGATGGTTTTATACTTGTTGTTCCAAAAGGTACCATAAAAGCTGGAATCAGGAAAAAATCTAATCTTGATAAAATAATTGGATTTTTTCGCAAAAAAGTGAAAAGTTTTCTATCTGGATTTTTTTCTCTCCATATATCTATTAAATTTAGATCATTCATTGCAGCAATTAGATTATCTCTGTATTTGGATTTCCCTTCAATGCCTCCGCCTTGTTTGTCTATAATAGGGTTTAAAGTAATATTGAAATCACCACCTAATATCAAATTCTTATCACTCTCTTCTTCTAAATGATTCAACAAAAAATCTAAAAATTCAACTTGTTCAACTAAGTTATCTTTTGTTGGTGCATATATATTTATCAATGTAAATTTTGAATCATCTAGCAAAATAGATACTTTCAGAAATCTGCCAATATCATCACCTGTGTGTTCAATTATTTTATAGTCTATATGATGTGGAAATAAAATTGCTACCCCTTTGCTATTAGATTCTCCATGAGTAAAAATGATATCCGATTCCCACTCAGTTTTCCACATCTGCTGATCTTGTTCAGTAGAGTGTGTTTCTTGTAAATAAATAAAATGATTGGGAAATTTCTCTTTAAACCATGTAAACAAACATCTTCTTTTACTAGATAAACCTAACCCCCTTACATTTAGAGATAAGCAAGATATATTAAAAGACATAATCTATTTTGATTCTGTTGTAGAGCACCAGCACTGGCTCACTCGCAATAAAAAAAAAAAGTGCAATAAAACATTGCCAATACAATTGAAGTTGCATGTAAACAAACAGTTCTTTTTTTAACATAGAGCCAGGTATATAACAGAAACACAAAAGAAAAAACATACAGCGTATGTACAAAAAAGGATAAGTCATTTTATTTCGAGTACCTTAAGCTTTAACCAAAAATTGTGTCTTTGTCATCTCGATCAGTATGGGGATTTCAATACCGGAAAGGAAAAGCAGTAACAAATTTTTAGACCAAACACTGCGGATGTAAAAAATCCGTATTGTTTAATACAAGAAAGGAAAGGAAAAATTTTGTCAATTTAGACATAAATAGCAAAAAATAATTAAATAATTCATACTAAGCATTATTAAATATTCAATAATAATCGTTTTTGATAGAAAAAAGCAGTGACAGTTCCAATAAGGAAATTACCTGACATGAGCACATATTTAGCCACTATGTGCAAGAACAATGTCTGCAGTCAAGTTTTCAATAATTTGAAACCTGCGGAAGCCTATGTGTTTACCGTAAAACCTGGAAATAACGCATGCCATGTTTGTAACATTTAGTGATCGGAGAACTTTGATGAGCCGCCTCCCTGCTCCATACTCGCCGTCATCATTATGACCCTCGTGGATTGCGCCGGTACTATCTTTAAAACGGTACACTAAAATATTTTGTTCAGCAGTTGAGTAGGCTGGGTCAATAATATTTTTTTTATAAAAGTCCCTGACTTGATTGAATGTCTCTGTTGTTGTTGCAGCTGCTTTGAATGTGTTCCCTTCATCTGAGCAATCCATGGTGGACATGGAAATCTTTTGAAGCTTTTCCTTATCTGATTGGGTCATCTCAAGGATATTTTCTGGCTTTGGTTTCAATACTTTGTCTCTGTACACATTTCCATTCGGGAATACTAATTTCTCTCCCACAAATCGTGTCATTACTTTCTCCTTCCAGTACTGATTATTTATCTCCTGCAGTTTCTTTCGGTTTTCCGCTATTTCTATTGGTCTCTGTGGCGTGACGTAAAAGGTTCTTTCGGGTGCATTTGGTTGCGCGGACTGATCAGACTGGTCAGACGCTTCACGGTCACTTTTGTTCAGTTCTCTTTGCGCTTGGAGAATTTTTTCCTTATCAGTAAATTTTGACAGTCTGCCTGTAATAATTCGCGATCTCCCTGGAGTTTTTGGCCCATTTCTATGTATGTTTGCAAAGGAAGTGTCAACTCCAAAATGCTGCTTTATGAGTTGTGGGATTTTCTCAAATAAGTTTTCTTCATTGTCTTCTGGAAGATTGTGAATAAGAATATTCCAGCTCAGTTTCTGAATACACCAATGCATTGCACCAAAATATGTATTGTATTATTATTTCTAGGCAAGGAAAAAAATAAGAGAAAGAACGGCATATGAAGCGTCCAATGTGAAGAAAGATCCTAATTAAATATTTTAAATGCAGATGAATTATGTTTTCTTTGCAGTTTATAATACATAACATTACAGAATTAGAAATTGAGAAATGATTGTAGATTCAGACATATGTATTCAAAATGTATTCATTGTAATTACTGCTTCATTTTTAATATCATGTAATATTTTTTCCCTCTTTTAGGTTCATTTATACTAAATTTATAACATGAATATTAATACCCCCGCTCCGAAGGAAATGGTGGTATATACCTTATACCCTGCGAATCTCTCTGTTGTGTGTGTGTGAGGGGGGGGGGGGTGAGTGTTTGTGTATATATATCTGTCGGAAACAATTTTTTTCGTTGCAGTTTTCTCTATCACACTCTTTAGTTCGGCATGCCATATAGTGGTTTTCATTTTGGTACAAATCTTGTTCGTATGTCTGTGCGGGTTGGGTATCACTAGAGAGCACTGGCTCATAGATTTCTTATTTCCCCTGTAATTTGTGTACTTACAATGCATTTATTGTCTGTAGAATTGTATTATCTGTATTGTGGGGAAAACGAATGTATCTAAATAAAGTTAACTATGAAATACTTTATATATTGTTTGTATCAGGTTCGCTATATGAAAAACACTAATAATCTCTAAAAAAAAAAAAAAAAAAAAAAAAAAAAAAAAAAAAAAAAAAAAAAAACGAAACAAATATAGTTTACCAAAGTTAATTATACTTTAATGCAATATGTAAGTTTTTACTATAGTTAATTAAAGTTTTTTTTTTTTTTTTTTTTTGGATTTATGATTGTAATATTTTATGTTCTTAAATTTATATGTGCATATTTTTTTTTATATTTTAGGGAACTACGAGGGGTGTTCAAAAAGTTCGTAAACTATCTCTTTATTTACAAAACCACAGTTCAGAACAAAATGAATTTGGCACACATTTAGTCATAAACATGTTTTATAAATAGCAGATGTTCGCAATATAAAAATTATTCAATATGTAGATGACGTGACCAAAAAAAAAAAAAAAAAAAAAATGGTTGACTCAGTCGTACTTGAGCAATGAACGGCTTTGAAGTTTAACTTTTATCTTGGAAATTCCTTTGAAGTAGCCTTTAATACTTTGTACAAGGTTTATGGAGTCAAAAGACTTGCCAGAAGTTCAATTATTAATTGGATTGATTGATTAAGTGAGGAAGGGATGTGGTTAAAATGATGTTTGTTCTGGTACCTACTTAAAGTAAGCTTTGGAAGAGATGTTTCCTCAGTTGAACAATTTGTAATGGAAGATCGCTAAATTACAGTTAGAAAAATAGCTAAATATCTTTACAATAATATAATTATTAATTCCCTAAAATAACGTTTACCTTAGATTTTAAATATATCACATATGATAAAAAGAAGGCACCCATACTTTATCCACAATGGATAAACGACGCACCCAATATAAAAGAGTCAGGTTGTGATGGTCACCATGCTAATTATGGGAAAAGATATCCTAATCCACCCATCCTATTGCCAAGATATGGTCATTTGTGACAAATGAACTATTCTTGTTATAAAAAATAACTTTTATGGTAAGAAATATAAGACTCGGAAAAATCTTTTAACTTCTGTGAACAGAACGCTACGGAGCATGTCACGTGGCCGCCTGAATCACGTGATTCGTGCATGGGCAGAACGGTGGCAGATGTGCATTCAAATCGGAGAGGACCACTTAAAAAAAAATAAACACTGAAAACTGATTTTATTTCTTTATAGAAGTAATTCAATTAGTTCGTGAACTTTTTGATTACCTCTCGTATTTCTTGTATATTAACATATCACCCAACACATATTACTGATATCAATGTTAAGAAAGTTTGAGCTTTGAAATCTCAAAAAAGTTCCAAACTAAGTTTCATAGTTAAGCAAAGTATCAAAGTATTTACTTTAGTTAATAATAGTAAATTATAGTTAACTATACTTTACTATATAGTAAATTTTTGTTACGGGTGCCCTTCGATTGTGATAGAAATTCCCCTTCCTTGATCATTATATAGATACATGACTGTATAATCTACATTATTATTCACATATGCATTATGTAACTACTTATAAGTAGGATTTTTGATGTAAGAAAAAAGAGTTTTGTTTACTTTAGCCTAAAATCTCATATTTTTAAAACCTCGTATCACACAGCAAAATCGCTTAATTTGTGTATAGGAAAAACATGGCCAGATTTTTTATAGGCTAGCAAATTTAAAGAGTGAATTACATCCTCGTTACACAGTCCCTCAAAACTTACTACTATAGATACACTGACACAAATCACGTACCTCATTTGAACACAATATGTGTTACAATATTTTTTGCACAGTTCTATGCTTTTTGCAAACGCAACTTCAATTGTGCTAATAATGCCAATCCTACTTAAGGAGAAAAATAATATATACATAAGGCAGAGAAGCTTTTTCATAATGCAACATTCAGTTTTTTTTTTCTATTGGTAAAAATTATTACATGTTACTAGAAAGGGGAAATACGTACTACTGTGTATAAACTTGTGTCAATTTTTAGTATACCAAACACCTCTTTTATTAATTAATCATTTTTTTTTATGTAAAAAGCCTCATTTTGCTTAGGCTTTGTTTACACCAGCAAGACATTGGTAAAGATTTTGAGCTAACCATTTTATGTGTGCCTGAGATCGAATATCAGAGGAATATTGATTTAGTCCTATCTGTTATTTTTACACAAATTTAATCTTCCTTATATTTTGATGAGAAATTTTATACTAGAAAATCTAAGATATATATGAGATCAAATTTTCTTAACAATTCCATTTTCTTAACAATTACATTTTTCACGCAAATTTATTTGGGTAGGGTTCGAAAACATTAATCTTTCTTATAACTTCTGAAGAAGAAAAACGCTTGAGACTTTATTTTCATTCTTTTTTTTTTTTTTTTTTTTTTTTTTTTTACATTATTTACCCAGAGTAAAATTTAAAGAGAATCATGACATTATACACAGAAAGCATGCATTTTTATTCATAATATTATATAAGTGTCTCTTTCTGACACCAGTTAAGTAAATAATCTTGTTTTCTTTTTAAATGATGACTGTGGAAACATTTTATAAAATGTTATAAAATAAATCTAAAAACACGTGTATTTTCGCTCTTATAGTCATCGAACATAATAGTAGCCTAGTTATTTGTTTTCCATCGATGAGATAACATCTTGTATTATTGTGTACATGTAAGGTATAGAATGACCTTTTGTTATTTAAACTTCAAAGCTTATAGGCTGCGTGATCTACCCCTATGTAATTGCCTAACGAGAATATTCCTACCAAAACCAGTTTTTTTTTTTTTTTTTTTTTTGTAAAAAGACACAGGGCCATTAATTTCTACAACCCACACGGAGAAAAATGACCCCCAGCCCATAATTTCTACAAAAAAGTGGGTCATTTTTCTACGTAGAATATTGACCAGGGGGTCAAATTTTTACGTAGAAAAATGACCCCTGGTCAATATTCTACGGTGGTCACTTTTCGTCGTTACAAAGGCACAGTTGCTACCTATTTTTTAGCGACTTAGGTCAGTCGCGGCCGAGATGCAAACTCGCGACCTTCCGACCACGGAGCGAGCGCTTTACCGACTGAGCTACCGTGACGGTAGGTAGAGCTACCGGATGGTAGGTTCGTGCTAGCACGAAAAAGATCCCTCGCTACTCAATGGCTCTGAGCGCCGAGTACAGGTCTAAATTTGCAGCTCTCCATCGGTAATAAGAGGTGTCTCCATATGAATGAAAGGTTCTCTAGAGGGACGTTAAACAACAAACAAACAAGCAATATACACATGTAGTATTGTATCGCCTATTGATTAACTATTCAGCAAATACAAAAAAAATTTCAATGCATGTGACTGAGGAAATTTGAAGCATTTTAGAAAAATACCAAATACCATTTTTTGCAGTGTGATATATTTACATCCATGGAATATGTTCTCCTTTTATTCTTAATAATACCATTGTCGTTAATCAGTCAATATATACCGGTAAGCATATCAGCCGTACAGATTTCTTGAGCAGTGGCTCTTCCATCAATAAAACGTACAATGATGATGAACATATAAATAATAAATTTTTTACCCATTGAATCCTACTTGAGATTATTATTTGTACAGCTATAAATACACACAATAAAATATCATTGTTATTTAGTATGGGAAGAACCGTTCCAGCTATCAAAATACATAACCCGCTTTTCGGGAATCTGAGAAAATTAAAAAGACAGTAAAAAACAGAAAATATGCCTGCAAATCATTCACAACCACCAAACAAGAACATGGAAAACTTTGCTCGTCTTTGTCTTTTTTCTATACAAATGTGTACAAATCTACTAAGAGATATCATAAATTTTAACATTTCGATCCAGTCCTGATAATGGTAAGGCAAAGACAGGACTACTTAATCAAATGTTGAGACATTCTCTCGATCCAGTCATGACGATGGGAAGGCAAAAACAGGACTACTCATTTGGTGTTATTTTATGATTTCTATCTGATCCCTTTTCAGTATCTGCACATAAAGCAAGCATTTTTTTCTAATTCATTTAAAGAATCACTGTCTAGTTTGTTGGGTATTTATCTGGCAGCTGGCGACATTTGGAAACGTGGGGTTATATGCATAATAGGCGATAAACTAGACAGTGTTTCCTTATACTTATGTTATATGTGAACTAAAAGTGTGAATGTAAATAAAACTATTGTTTATACCTTTAAAATATGCGAGGCATTTCATGCTAATTTTCATAGTCGCAGCCCACTGACTTTAGATACAAAGACAGCCGCAAGAGATTGACATGCATATTAGAACTAAACCTTTCTCATGGAGAAATATACCTTTTGTATTTGTGGAGAAATCAACACATCTAACTTTCTCTGA